TATAGCAAGCTAGAGTAACAATCTATATAAACCTATATCCTACTCTATTGCAAGCTAGAGTAACAATCTATATAAACCTATATCCTACACTATAGCAAGCTAGAGTAACAATCTAGATAAACCTATATCATACTCTATTGCAAGCTAGAGTAACAATCTAGATAAACCTATATCCTACTCTATAGCAAGCTAGAGTAACAATCTAAATAAACCTATATCATACTCTATAGCAAGCTAGAGTTACAATCTAGATAAACCTATATCCTACTCTATAGCAAGCTAGAGTAACAATCTAGATAAACCTATATCCTACTCTATAGCAAGCTAGAGTAACAATCTAGATAAACCTATATCCTACTCTATAGCAAGCTAGAGTAACAATCTAGATAAACCTATATCCTACTCTATAGCAAGCTAGAGTAACAATCTAGATAAACCTATATCATACTCTATAGCAAGCTAGAGTAACAATCTAGATAAACCTATATCCTATCCTACAGCAAGCTAGAGAAACAATCTAGATAAACCTATATCATACTCTATAGCAAGCTAGAGTAACAATCTAGATAAACCTATATCATACTCTATAGCAAGCTAGAGTAACAATCTAGATAAACCTATATCATACTCTATAGCAAGCTAGAGTAACAATCTAGATAAACCTATATCCTATCCTACAGCAAGCTAGAGAAACAATCTAGATAAACCTATATCATACTCTATAGCAAGCTAGAGTAACAATCTAGATAAACCTATATCATACCCTATAGCAAGCTAGAGTAACAATCTAGATAAACTTATATCATACTCTATAACAAGCTAGAGTTACAATCTAGATAAACCTATATCCTACTCTATAACAAGCTAGAGTAACAATCTAGATAAACTTATATCATACTCTATAGCAAGCTGGAGTAACAATCTAGATAATCCTAAATCCTACACTATAGCAAGCTAGAGTAACAATCTAGATAAACCTATATCATACTCTATTGCAAGCTAGAGTAACAATCTATATAAACCTATATCCTACTCTATAGCAAGCTAGAGTAACAATCTATATAAACCTATATCCTACTCTATTGCAAGCTAGAGTAACAATCTATATAAACCTATATCCTACACTATAGCAAGCTAGAGTAACAATCTAGATAAACCTATATCATACTCTATTGCAAGCTAGAGTAACAATCTAGATAAACCTATATCCTACTCTATAGCAAGCTAGAGTAACAATCTAGATAAACCTATATCATACTCTATAGCAAGCTAGAGTTACAATCTATATAAACCTATATCCTACTCTATAGCAAGCTAGAGTAACAATCTAGATAAACCTATATCCTACTCTATAGCAAGCTAGAGTAACAATCTAGATAAACCTATATCCTACTCTATAGCAAGCTAGAGTAACAATCTAGATAAACCTATATCCTACTCTATAGCAAGCTAGAGTAACAATCTAGATAAACCTATATCCTACTCTATAGCAAG